GCTAAAAACTGCAATTAGGTGTGGTTTCTCAAACGGCCATAAGATGGAGCCAGAAACCTGGTTTGTCTTAGTCTTAATCTCAGAAGAGAGTGTGTCTCAGTCTCTGTTTCCTTCTGTTGGAAAGTATTGCTGTTCCTCCATTTTTCCTAATTGACTGCTATTTCTGGATTTAATGTAGGTCTGATACTGAACTGTTTTTTTGGCACTGGACTTTGTTATTGAATTATCCCTGGATTGAAAACTGACTGATTTAACCTGTGAATGACTTTTGGACTGCTTATCTTGAACTTTGCTTAAACTGGAAGTAAAAACCTACATTTACTGTACAGTGTATCTGTGTGCTGTATGTGTATTATTCAAACACTACTCTCAAATACGTCTCCCTGTATGCGCTCATTCTCCTAACGGGGAATTACCTCAACAGTGGGCATGGCCACCTTGACATCACTCGTGTTGAGGGAGCTCCATTTTTGGTCATAAAGGACTGCAGGAGTCCTTCGCAGCCGAAAGCTGGGCCTTGGAGGGCTGTTCGCAGCCATCCCAAGCTCCATTGGGCCAGTCCTTCACTGTTTCCAGGGTGGCCTTGCAGGCCAGATCTAAGCACCCCATGAGCTGGATCTGGTCCGCGGGCCTTGAATCTGACACCCCTTCTGTACATCATAGCAGCATATTTGAACTCCAAATTACCATCATCTGGCTTATGTGGTCCTTCTCATGAGTTTTCAGTAACACCAGAGTGGTCCATGAAATGGAAAAGGCTAGGAATCATTAGACTATAGTCCATTTCATTAGTTCATGATTTGGCTGATTAATTTGCAGATGCATGTAGCTAGGAAAATGTGGGCATTCAAATGATCATTATTTACAAAATGTTGGTGCTTCTAGCACTGTCTCCTAAATACAATAGGCTTCTTTATGCATTCTATTGCCATCTGATCCCACTGGTGATTGTTATTCCACTTACTGAATATTTAGTTGCCAATTGAGAATAAAATTCTCCTGGAAAATGAGGGAACCCGGGGGAATATATGTCATATTCATTAACTTTCAAATTGTTGCAAGATTTCGTTGTTTTGTTGCAAAAGGCTTACATGATTAGCTCTCTAGAAATGAAATTGTGCCAATTATCTTATCCAATTCTCACAAATTCAAAATAAAGTGATTCAATCTTATTTTTATTTCAAAGAGAAGATATCTGAGGCTAGAATGGTTTATTAAATAAAAAATAGATTTAAACTTATCACAGCAAACAAAACCCGAGATCCTCAAAGAACTGAACAAAGATTTAACTGTATTTACATTACCAAATTATAGGAAAAAAATAAAATATCTGAACTAATGAGATCTGTATCTTTCCTTAAGTATCCAGTTTGCATTCATACAGTAAAAATCTATTACAAAGTAAAATACATAAAAAATAACTGCCTCCTACCCCAAGCTGACTGTATCTTTTTACATTTAAAGCATTTAAAAACATTAGCTATGTTGGGATACAACTTTTTATAGCTTGCAGGGTTTTTTTCCCCCCTTAACAATGCCTTTTATTCCTTGTATTGTTGTTGCTTTTTGTAGGTGTATTACAATCTGGGCTCCAAGATCACTGCAGATGGAGACTACACCCAAGAAATTTAAAGACGCTTGCTCCTGGGGAGGAAAACTATGGCAAATCTAGACAGCATACTAAAAGCAGAGACATCACCTTGCCAACAAAAGTGTGTATAGTAAAGGCTGTGGTTTTCCCAGTTGTAATGTATGAATGTAAAAGTTGCACCATAAGGAAGGCTGAACGCCAAAGAATTGAGGCCTTTGAACTATGGTGCTGGAGAAGACTCCTGCGAGTCCCTTGGACTGCAAGACAATCAAACCAGTCAGTCCTAGAAGATATCAATTGAGACTGCTCTTTAGAAGGCCAGATCCTGAAGATGAAACTCAAATACTTTGGCCACCTAATGAGAAGGAAGGACTCACTGGAGAAGAGCCTAATGCTGGGAACAATTGAGGGCAAAAGAAGAACGGGATGATAGAGAATGAGGTGGCTGGATGGAGTCATTGAAGCAGTCAGTATGAGCTTAAATGGACTCCAGGGGATGGTAAAGGACAGGAAGGCCTGGAGGAATGTTGTCCATGGGGTCACGATGCGTCGGACACAACTTCACAACTAACAACAACAATTACAATCTAAATTGTGTTGATATGGAGAATATTTTCTTTGAATGGAGGAGACTTGGAAGCACATAACTATACACTCTGGGTGAATCAATTCCATGTTTTCTGTCTCTTAATCATTGCTATACTCTGAATGTTGGACACTAAGCTCCTGACTGTGGAATATAAATTTAATAGTTTGTAATAAAAATGTAATATTTTTTTTAAAAAAATATGTGGGCAGTTCCCATTGAGTTCTTTATCCCTGAATTCATTGGGTCTAACAAACAACTCTTTAGGGCAGGGGTTGCCAACCTTTTGGACCTCAGGGACCACCAAACTCATAATTTTAGATCCCAGGGACCCCTAACTGGTTCTGTGGGTGTGGCCTAATTTGTGAGTGTGGCTTGGTGGTCATGTGACTGGCTGGGCATGGCTTGTATGTAAATATTATGAATATTTATATAAATATTGATTTTTTATGAAAAAAAGCAACTTTTACCCAAAATCAGGCAAAGCAGGCAGATTGAGTTGCTCACAGAATCATTCAATGATCTATCTATCTGCCATTGGCTAGCTCAGTCTCTCAAATTTGCTTGCCGTGAGTCTGCACTGAATTTGCTTGCAAGCAAAACTTCAGTCCTAAGGGAGGTTTGGCTGTGCTTAAAAGCAGAGCCGAAGATCTAAAGACTAGCTGGAAAGCAAGAAATCCAACCATTAGCTAATCTAAATCTTCCAGCACAAAGAACAGATGATGGTCGGAAAAAGGAAAAATAGAAATTTAGCAGGCAAGTTTACCGGGTAAGGAGTGAGTGGGTGGGGAGGGTTCCCACGAGCCATGTGGGTGGTGCAGCCTTGTGTTTCTGCACAGCCTGGATTAATTGCTTTGGGGGGGTGCTCTTGGGGTGAGATTTCTCTGCGGCCCACCAAAATTTTCTCACAGCCCACCAGTGGTTGGCGACCGCTGCTTTAGGGGATCTAACCAGAATAGAATCTTTCAGAGGGTGACTATTTTAGGAATTTGGGGGACGCACTATGCCATGTACACAGGTAGTCCTCATCTTAAGACCTCAATTGAGCCCAAAATTTATGCTGTTAAGTGACACATTTGTTAAGTGAATTTTGCCCCATTGTATGACCTTTCTTGCCACAGTTAAGTGAATCAGTGTAGTTGTTCAGTTAGTAACACCGTTGTTAAGTGAATCTGGCTGCCCCTTTGACTTTGTCAGAAACTCACAAAAAGTGGCCACGTGACCCTAGGACACTGCAACAGTCATAGATATGAGCCAGTTGCCAAACCTCCTAATTTAAACCGTGACCACAGGGATGGTGCAACAGTCATGTGAAAAATGGTCATGTCATTTTTTTTCAGAACCATGGTAACTTTGAACGGTCACTAAACAAACTGTTCTGGGTCAAGGATTACCTGTAGATGCATCAAGTATAATTCATCAGACAGAACTTTACTATGGAAAAAGATGCCCAGATTCTCAGTCCCAGGTTTCCCAAGTTAAACTGGGGATACATTGAATTTTAAAAGCTACTGAAATACAGAGGTTGAACTAAGTCTGTATCCGTTTGTTAAATGGCAGCTTGTTTTTTTCAATCACAAGCAGAATACAGTCTTTGAGCATTTCCACACCTGTAACTACACACAGCACAAACATGCTCTGCTGTTTTTCCACGACATGTGTTAAATTTTGACCCTACACTTTCTCTAGGAGTTCAAGATAGTTTATATGGGAAACCTACAAGGTAGTTCTCGAGTGGTCGTTGGCTCCAAATCATCCACTAAGCTTCCATAGCTGAGGGACAACTTGAACTTCAGTCTCTCCAGTGCAATCCCACATTCTCTGCATATCTTCTTAAGTCTTCTTTAACTGTTTTTCCCTTATTCTGGCATGATCCATGGGAAAATCTCAAAATGTCAGAGGACTCAGGGATTTGAAATAGAAACAAAAGAGGCAGGACAGTAAATTTCATGTGCATTTTTTTCTATTATAGAACAGGATCAGTTCAATTTCTAGTGTGTTTTTCTTAAGTGCAGCAAAGTTATGAGTGCATAATTTATATTCTGTGCAACTATTTTTAAAAGACAAGCCACAAGCACTTCCAAAACCCTTTGTACGTATTAAAAAAAAAAAAACCAGATGGCTAAATAATCAAGTTTTGAGCCATTGTTTTCTTTGCTGAAAAGCATGTCACCTTTTTCAGATCTATGACCGAACAATGGCCATATTTTATTATCATATCTGGAATAAATTTCTGGGGTAACTTTCTGAATCTCTATGATAACCAGTGGCAAAGAGTCTTTTACAAGGACACCGAAAAGAACATTTTCCTCTCTGTTACATGGTAAGCTTCATCTGCCTCTCGAATATTCCGCAATTTAAAAGTGCAGAATCCTCCTTTGTACCTGACTGTCTCTTCCATTCTTAAAACCTCAATGCAAACAAGAATGAAGTATTATTGACACAGGTAGTGGCCCATTCTTTTTCTTTTTTTTTACTATAAAATAGGGCAATTTATCAGCACCAACCTACTAGTTGAAGACCAACGCTAGAAGACTCCTTGGGAAGGAGAAGCTCTACCTCCTGCTGTGTGTATGAAAGATTGCTCCTCCCCCAGCAAGATGTGTTTATGGAGGGGAGGGGTAGGAACTAACTCACTTTAGAATTGACTATACCTCTCTGAAAATCTAACCACAGAAGAGCTTCCAGAAGGCATGTGCCCCTGGAGGAAATGAGAAACAGCTAGAAAAGGTTCTTCTGCTTTAATTAGTCCATCTAATCACGTGAAACAGCTGCTCCTGTTTGGGGTGAGGCATCTGGACCACACTTACTTGGAAACAGCATTGGAACTGGAGTGGGCTTGAAGGAGAAAAACATCTTAAGAAAATGTGTTGGAGGCAAAATACTAGGTAAGTTTGCATTTTTAAACTCTTATAATCAAGTTGTATTCAGCCCTGTGTCTTCTATTCTTTATATACACAAAGGCAAAATTGTAATCCATGTAGAAGCAAGAGATATAACATATTGCAAATTTTGGCTCTAGTGAGAGTAAAATATAATTTCCAAAACTATTGCCTTTTTATAATACAGTGTTTTGCTTTGGTAACAGGGCTACAAATGTGATTTTGAAGCAATTATCTCAGTAACAAAGAAAAGAATAGAACTATCTAGCTGGGATCTTATAACTATGTATAATAATGTTTCGTCCTGTAGTGGCTTATCCATACCCTAGGATTGTGTTGCTCTTAGAAAGAAGTCTCAGACAATTCAGTTTGACTTTACTTTGTCCTAAGCATATTTAGTATCAGATTGCTTTGTCTGTAATTAAGTCTGCCTTCCTAAATATAATTATCCATTTTTCAAATTCAATGTATTTTAATAGTACTAGTTTTTGGGGTGGACTGAATGCCCTGTTCTCACACCTAATTTTTTCATACTGTACTAATGTCTGTGCATACTTTGCCTCTCCAGGTTTATTTTAACAATAACTCTGGTTTTGTGGAATATTAATTTTGCAGAAGGTGAGGAATTTTCTCATAATTTGGTTCCAATTTTGCTTTCTGTAAAATAGTGCACTCTCTTATGTTATTTTTTATTTTCACAAGGCCTTAGAAAAGAAGGTGATACTCATGACCCTGAAGGAAATGTGGATGTCATTATTCAAAAGCACAGCGCAAAAGAGCGAGCCACCACATTAAAAGTCTACAGTGTTATGAATCAGAGCTTCGAGTATAAAAAGCAGATCAACTCGAGACCAATTGTACCTTTCACTGGGCTAACAGAGAGTAAGTTACTTTCTTTATGCTTACATACTCCCTAAATCATGATATCTGAATCTATTATAGCAACGGATTTCTCCAATCTAGTGCCTGTAACACCAGTGAACCGACATAGTACTAACATGAACTTAGCAGAGAGGCCTGGGTTCAAATGCTTGTTCTGCCATGAAATTTATTAGCCAGTCCTATCCATAGTCACTGTTTACTAATTTTAATTCTAGGCATGAGGTCTTTAGAGCAAGCATTCAGTTTTACTTTTGCCCACCTCTGAGGAATGTGGTAAGGATAAAATATATGTTTTACAATAAAAATGCAATAAATATACATGAACAAATGGACATACAGTATGTCCATTGGAAAATCTGTCTCTCCAAAATAACTTCTTATCTGCCCTGGAGAATAGGCAAGGTAGAATTAGATTTCTAAATAGTTTTTTATTCAATTTATGCATTGCCCTGCTCCCAGTTAGATGGGATTCTGCACTGTCTTTTGGTTAGTAGAATTTCTGCAACTGCAAGCCAGTGTAGCCTATCTTTACACTGCATTGGCGGGCTGACCAAAATGTTATGAAACCTTTGAAAATAATATTACTAAGACTTGTGCTATAAGCTATATATATAAGTATATCTTATATATACTAAATTATATTCTATCGAGTCAGTGGTGTATTTTTAAAAGAAATAGCCAGAAGCTGCTCTGTAGGCAGTTAATCATCTATATGTTTGGAGACGCTAAGACTTTTGGAGATTTAGGATTATAATCCACATGTTTCTTCCCTTGAAAATCTAATGGGGATGACAAATTATTGTACTTTTCTGGCACCTTTCTGGCACTGTTTCTGTAATGAGCTGTGGCAAAAAGTAAGATCCAGTTGCTTTATTTCTGGGAAATGTTGATCTCCCTTTATCCAGGACTGACTTTAAAGAAAATATTCATCAGTTCCATTTGCAATAACTCTTTCTGCCAAGCAAATTAGGAGATATGCATATTGCAGCATAATGATTTTATTATAGTTAAATAGATATAGAATAGGTACATATATATGATTTTCTTTGAAGGCACAATTTAGCTAAAAAGATGATAAATGTTTGCACATTTGGCAAAAGATAATATTTCTTTTCTTTTGGGGGGTAAATATCAATAGTGCTATTTTCAAAAACGAGTATGATTATTACCTTCTGCTGGAGTGAGATCTGCAGTTTGACATGAAGCTTCTGCAGTAGAACAAGTCATGGGGTGGTGCTTGGCCATGCAGTAATCTTGAGAAGTTTGCTTTTAATCCTTATCTAAACAATCTGGGCTTAGCTGAACAAACAGCCTTAACAGGCAGCTAATTTTATGGTCCCCTTAAGGCGAGTAGAACCAGGCCTTTGGCAGCTAGGAAGACTGGGCAGAAGCAAGTGAAAAAGAAGGTTCAAAGAAGTCTGTTTCTTTGTCAACTATGGGCTATTCATTTTTCAGGTCGGACCCTTAACCGGCACTGTTGTAAAAATGGAGGAACTTGCATCCTCGGCAGTTTCTGTGCATGCCCCCAATACTTTGTTGGCAGATACTGTGAGCACGACGAACGGAAAAGGTAAAGAAAGTACATATATTTGGGGGTGATTGTGGCTTGTCAATGAAACCTGGAAATAAGGTTGCATCTTCTGATTTGTCATTGGCAGCAACTGTGGCCCATTTGTGCATGGAGAATGGATATGGAAGGGTTGCCAACTGTGTCGATGTGCTTATGGTGTTCTTCAGTGTTTATCTGAACAAAGACAAAACTGTGGTAAGAACATACATAACTGAGGGAAAATCCACCTGTAGTTAATGCAAAAAGAAAAAGAAAAAGAAATCAAGAGTCTTATATCTGAAACGTGAACACATTTATAAGGCACAAATTATTCTGCAGTGAAGCTTAGGTTATTTGTCAGCCTTTAAGATGTCAGTAGTCAGTCAGTTTTGTACTTCTCATTGCAAAAGACTAAAGGAGAAGCTATACATGAACTCTTATGGGCTACTCTGAATTGTTGAATTTGTCCCATCGAATTAAAATCCAAATATGATTTCTGTGAGCTTGTTGAGGTAGCACTTTGTTCTATATATTCACTTTGTGTGAAACACTTTCTAAAATGTCAATCATTGGTCTATATAAATTATTTTTTCTTCTTCTCAGGGGGTTTAGTGTAGCCAGGCCTTCTATATCAGGTTTAGGCAAGAAAGGGCCTTCTCAGATGTTGTAGACACTGATTCATATTGGTGGCCTAGGGCTGAATTTTTAAAGGCACCCCTCCCAATGGCCCTAATAGGAGCCTCTGTGGCGCAGTGGTTAGAGTGCAGTACTGCAAGCTATTTCTGCAGCAAGCTGCCTACAATTTGGCAGTTCAAATCCCACCAGGCTCAAGGTTGACTCAGCCTTCCATCCTTCCGAGGTGGGTAAAATGAGGACCCAAATTGTTGGGGCCAATATGCTGACTCTGTAAACTGCTTAGAGAGGGCTGTAAAGCACTATAAAGTGGTATATAAGTCTAAGTGCTACTGCTTGCTATTGCTAAGCCTCCACCTGCTTTACATAAATACAGGTAGTCCTTGTCTTATGACTACAGGTGAGCCCAAAATTTATGTTGTTAAGTGAGACATTTGTTAAGGGAGTTTTGTCCCATTTTATGACCTTTCTTGCCACAGTTAAGTGAATCAAAGCAGTTGTTAAGTCAGTTACATGTTTCTTAAGTGAATCTGGTTTACTCATTGACTTTGCTTGTCAAAAGGTCACAAAAGGTGATCACATGACCACAGGACACTACCACCATCATAAATGTGAGTCAGTTGCCAACTATCTGAATTTTGATCATGTCACCATAGGGATGTTGTGACAGTTATAAGTGTGAAAAATGGTCATAAGTCATTTTTTTCAGTGATGTAACTTCAAATGGTCAAGGGCTACCTATACATGAGAGAAGCAATTATAATAATCCCTTCAGGTCTTAAGTACTCATTGTTTTTTTAAAGGTAGTTATACAGTATATCTCCCAAATTCAAATATCTTATTGCTTTTTTTTAACTATATACTGAGCAATTAGGTTTGAAAGGGAACTATCACTACTCATGCCTACCTTCTATTTATATGTAAAAAGTGCAGTATTTTTTTGTTTTGTTTTACTATGCATTCCCAAACCTGGGTGGAGGTAGGGGAAAAGTATTTTTTTTAATACCCTCAAGTCAGTTTTGGTAACTTCCTAGAAACATCCCTGCAGTTTTCTTGGGAGATTCCAGAAGTGGTTTGTCATTACCTGCTTCCTTTTGCCTGTCTGCAAAACCCCCTTAAGAATATTTTTTTTCTATATAACTGAGGTGACAGGGCTATGTTTCTACATCAGGGGTCTCCAACCTTGGCAACTTTAAGACTTGTGGACTTCAACTCCCAGAAGTTCCTCCTCCAGTCATGTTAGCTCAGGAATTCTGGGAGTTGAAGTCCTCAAGTCTTAAACTTGCCAAGTTTGAAGACCCTTGGTCCAAGGTCATCCAATTAGCTTCCTGCCTAAAGCAAGACTAGAACCAACTTTCTTTCCAGCTTGATAACTTAACCACACCACCAAACTGGCTGTCTCAAATCAGCTTATATGAAACAAAATCTGTTGGAATCTCTAGTCAACAATGTGTTATCATTGTTAAATAAAAGGAAAAAATACGATCATGATGTAACATTTTTGTAAGCCATTTATCTAGCACCACTTCTCTTAATCTAAATCTTGCTTCCAGTAATCCTGTTAGGAATGTGTGTGATTGCTGCTGAGTTCCGGTATAATATTTGATGGAGTCTTGTCAACAAGTTATAAGTGTTAATCTCATCTTGTTTTCTGTTTTCCTTACCTGGGCCAAGAAGTACAATTCTCTTTATTAGCAATGCTTCTTAACTAGTGATTTGTATTTACTTTTAATTGTGATGTGATTAATGCTGATAAGTTACTATTAATTGGTTTCAAAAGCTCCTATGGGTCCCATTTGCACTCTCCTATGAGAATTCAACAACCATTGACTTATATACTGTATTATTTAGTATTTTACTTAAGTACTTCCAGAGGAGTTTAGAGGAAATTACTAAGTATTGTTGAAACAATTTGTATGCAGATTTCCTTAACTAGCCCTCCTCCTTTTTTTTCTCAGCTTTAAATAAGGAAGAGGAATTCATCTATTTAACTTCAAATTGTCCAAGATTACAGCAAACAATGTGCTTTCTTATTCTTCTATTAGGCTGCTTTTTCACTTGGTTCAGCACAAAGATTTTCTATCACGTCTGAAGCTCTCACTTATTTGGACTGGAAATTCTGTAGATGGATCTACAGAATGCAAGAAAGCTAGAAACAGACTGTTGTTGCATTTCTACTATTTATTTACCTGTTTAACAGGAATGCTTTAGGCTATTTACTTCTTTTCATGAAATTCCAGTTACATTTCCATGGTGAAATCACCCTTAATTACCTCATTCCAATAGTATTTTCTATATCATATCAAGGAGAAAATATGCAGTTGTTTTGCTGTTAAGGATTTGTACAAGACCTCATTCAATCCTGCCATTTCTGCTGCCCTTCAAATAGTTGAATTTCAGCTCCCATGTTAAAAATCAAGATATTTCAAGAGCACCACACTGAGAATGCTTCTGTACCTAGTTGTAAACAAATCTGCATCAATGAAAAGTAAAACCAAAATATTTAAGTGAGCTCAGTTCCTAGTGACCTGAGAGATATAATCTTTTTTTTTGTGGCACTATGAAAATAATTTTTGATTGCTACCTTGATATCTTTTCCCCCAACTTCCCATTTTATCTTCCCTACATGCTGAAGATTTCTTAATATTCTCCCATCCAATTATTAACCCGTGGTGTTTCACATATTGGCTCCACAATAAACCAAAGGTTAAGTTATTGTTAATCAAAACTAACTAACAAAGTGATGTTGCACAAATACTACTTCTGTTTGAATCAGATTTAAGCAGTAAAAAACTTTTATCTGTTGCAATAATGACACTTCCAGTGGAAGATATCTTAGGTATTCTACGACATTAAAATGTTTTCAAATAGTGTGTCTGCTAGGTCTCTTTAAGAGTGTATATGCAAACTGTAAATGCAACAATTTATTAGAGGTTCCACTTTTTCAACTTCATATCAGTTACATTACATCGCTATTACATTGTTAGGAATGTGTACATTGGTTTGTTTCTGATTCAGGTAACATATGTTCATTGATACATCAGCTCTATTCTCTGCCTTAATCTGTAAAATTAAAGACAAACCATTTCTTTTCAAAATATCTTCATGGAAATGTGCATTTAATGTAATTTACACATAATATAAATTACACATTTATAATTGCTTTTTCTAAGCATGAATTTTAAATTAAATGTATTTTAATGCATCTTTGGAGTCAAGAATTGGCATATTTGGCAAATATAAAGGCTTGTAAATCAAGATTAATATGTTGTGATCTGTTAGGTTTACATCAGAATTCATAACAGGCAAATGTTTCAGTTCTTTCTAGCTGAGGTAAAAATCTCGTATTCTGGAAGTTTGTTTCAACCCATTCTATTCCAAACCACCATATGGATGGTCATGTTCACATAACATGTTTGACTACATTTGGTTTTCTTGTCTATATACTAAAAGTAATCCAGAGGACCAACACAGATCCTTGTGGACCATGAAGCCTGAATAACTTATTGGAGCTTTAACGGCCTCTTGCAAGACTGATCTCTAAAGGCCTGCTAAAATGAGGCCTTAACAAATATCTAATTGTGTAAAAAGAAAAGAAAAGAAAATTAATAGTCTCCTACCTATTTTTGTAAAAACAAAACAAAACACTCCTAATTGATTTGACGGTACCAAAGGTCACGTGTTGCCAATACAGTAGGAGAGGCTTTAATTTTGGGGTAGTGAAAATATGGAAATTGCATGTAACAATCCAGTTGACTGCATTGATTTTTTCGGTGTCAGAAATCTTTGGTGTAAATTAATTTGATCGATATTTGATATATGGTTCCATTTAATATAATCTTAGCCTCTATTACATGATGAGAAATGTCAAAGTTAACAAATCAATATGTCATACATTCAGTTCCTCAAGCATGTCTTTTTAAAAAACAATGCCTCCAAGTTGAAAAATTAGAACAATGTTATGCTTGCTTTGTTTCCATGGTCCTAGCTGTAATGTTTCTTACATGCATCTGATTTTCCCTGGAACTCTAACACTGTACCTCACACACACACACACACCAAAAGAAAATGTTTTGCAACTGTATTCATCAAATTTGGAGTGACTTTAATGCATTTGAATAAACATGGATAGGTCAGTGGAATCCTCAATAAGCATTGTGTATTAAACTAGCCTACATGACTGGAGTGATCAAGTTCAGTTTTTTTAACGTTTTATTTTATATAACATAAAAATTCAATTTCAATCAAACAGAGTGTTAGTCTGGGTACAATTGTTTTTAGACAATCATAATCAAAATGTTTACAATAGTATTCATCACAATATTAATACTATAAACAATAAGTAATAGTATAATATTCGTGTTCAATTATTTTTTTAAAGATGCCATCAAAGACCATACCCCTGCCACCCACGCCAGTCCAAGAAGCCTAGATTTGATTTAAAAAGTAGAAGACTGAGTTGCAAGGAGGAGCGATAAACCGAGGAGTTTTTTTAAAAAGGAACACTGATTTTTCAGAAAGATTTTCACAAAACTTCCTATATAGATACAGTCATGCAGAATGTATCTGCCTGGAAATACGTCTTGAGTGATTTTTACTGCATGTGAGATAATGCTTAGATGAGAAATTACTTCAACAGCAAGACAATGATACATCAGATCAAGAACTGTATAGTTAGTTGCCAGGGTATTCAACAGATGTTTTGATACTGAAATGCATAGATGAAATTTATGTACTGAATCTTAAGAACAGTTTTTGTCTGTTCCTGAACATGTATCTTGGTCTGTTACACAAAAGGCATATGTACATTACAAATGTACAAAGGTTTGCTGGCAAATGATTCTGTGGCAGAGCAATACTAATCACTGGGGCTTAGTTGCCACCTAAAAACATGTCTTAAAATGTAATTGTTGCATATAACAAATGCATGTCGACCAAGCGTGGTTTTGTTTCCTTGTTTCTTACTGAGAAAATGAGGAATGACTGAGGTTAAAAAAAACAGGAAAATGTCCCTGTGATGGTGATTGATTTCTGCTTATTCTTTATCTACTTTCCAGCAGTGCATGAGGATAAAATGAATGGGGTTTTTTGTTTTGCAATAACAAAGCAATAGTTTCACCAGATCCAGAGCAACTTTCTCTGAATTTATTTTATTTTATTCATTAAATTTCTACACCACCCATCTCTCCTAAGTGATTCTAATTTCCTCCAAATATAAGCAGGAGGTACTGCTGTATTCATGTCTTTTAACAGGCATCTGGTTAGTCAGGACCAGGACCAGGAGGGGAGTCTTTAGCTGGTCCACCATCTGGTCTTTCCATCAATGCTTCTCAGTCTCAGCAATTTTTAAGTTGTGTAGAATTTATCTCCCAGAATTCCGCATTCTGGGACTTGAGAGGAAATTATGGGAACTGAAGTCCCCACAACTAAAGTTGCTGAACTTGAGAAATACTGTTCTAGAGGCTGGGTAAAACAAATGACAATGAAGAGAAACATAGCTAAATAAAGACTGCCTTTAAATTCCTTACTTTAAAATATTACAATATGATTCTGTATAAATTCAAATGATCAGATCTTTATTGATCTAATAAATTTGTCATTAGTTCAAGCCAGTAATATAAAGACTACTGTTAAATTGTAATTATTCCTTTTTAATATTACCTCTTATTCACTAGGGTTCATTTGATTGGTATCCTCTTTTCCTCTGCCATGAAATGACACAGCCTTTAGGCAGCCAACATTTAGTTTTGATGTTTCTGTTGTGTACTGAGTGACCCTGTTAACATCATGTTGTGAAATTCAGTGCTTATGGCTTTAAATGGGCCATTCCCAAAGTAGAAAAAAGTCAAAGTAAAATGAGTTCTGCTGGCATAGAATGGAAATGAAAGCCCTTATTTAATAGTGACTTGAAATAAATCCTGACCCTTTTCTCTGTTTGTCTCAGTTCTCTTTTTAAAACTGATAGACAGAGATGAGATGCACAGAATGTTTTGCCCAAACCTTGCTACAGTTTGAAACACCCCCCTCAAAAAAACAACAACCCTTCTATCTGTAATTGATCAGTCATGGAATTTATTATTTGAGATTTGTCTCAGGATAGGATCTTTTTTTGCTCTGGGATAGCAGCCAGACCCATTGATGAAATCTTTCCTCATGAAATTTGCTAGATTAGACTACCTACTTTTGTAGAAAGAAATCTTCACCCACCCGCCCCCAACTCTCTATCCTGTGTCACTGTTTACAGAGAAGCAGACATGTTGACTCCAATGCCCCCAGCAGGGGCCTAATTATTCAGGCCTCTGTTGAGGAATTTATATTCCAGGGTTATGAATGCAAGGCTGGTATCTACAGGAGAGGACAGAGATTACATTTTGAGCCAATTAAATTAATTCTTTCCTGACCCTGAAGCTTTTTCTCAGGAGCATAATGGCTGTGCAATGATTATTTTTCGGCATGATGACTGAACATTTATTTTTTTGCATATAATTTGCACAATTTCTTCCAAGGTTGCTTTTTTGCTATTCAGACATTTCCCTTTATGGATATAATAAATGCACAATTTATTTTGTAACTGGGAAAATGCAATCCTAGTCCAGTAAGAATCTGAGTGGGAAATAATGCCCTATATGCAATGAAGCACCCTTGTTTCATCTACAGAATTTAAAACAACCCTTTTAAAAGGAATTGTACCATTTTTCCATGCTCACTTAGGAGTGAGTAAAGTTGGAATATAGATTGTGCTATTAGTCTGTTATTATTAAATTGCGGCAGATTCAATAAGACGATCTGGTCTACAGGCGTGTGCATAGATAATTTGCCCAGGTAAAATCTGAACAATAATAACATTTACCATGTACAGATCATAGCTTGTTAAATAAAAATTGAATCGCAGATTAGATACATACAACATACAAACCTAGAAAGGAAATTTCTTAAAACAAGCCATAGAATGTAAACAGCTGTCATTGCTTAAATAAATGTTAAGTTCTATGTTTAGCTCATGATGGAAAATTGGATCAAGTTAGAGGTCATTTCCTATTGTACTAAGCAAATTAAATACAAAGTAATATTTAAGTAATAATATAGTTATGTGTCCAGGAAGTTGTTCATGTCCTATCAATCACATGCCACTCATGCTCAACCAAGAAAATGCCAGAATAACTCACCCTTTAGATTTCAATGTTCAACAACATCTGTATACAAAGATAACAGTTGCTCACTATAGGCTCCTTTGCAAATTATCTGGTTTATGTATTTAACATGGGTTTATTGAAAGCTTTTTATGGGTTGTATTTCTGTTTACATGTAAACTAATAGAATGACAAATATACAGGTATTTATTCAAGTAAATATGCAAATGTTTAAACTATCTCCATCTCCTTTCCCATAGGGATAAAATATTTGACCACTAGCAGGTTCAGCATGACATCTGTCATAGATGGTCATTATAAATCAGCTATTTGGTACAGCCTAGCTCAGTGTGTGTATACACACATACATACACAGTTGAGAGAGAGAGAGAGAGTCCATTTGT